TGAGCCTCAAAATAAGGCTTTATTTTTCAAACTTGATGCCATGAAAAATACAGAAAGTGCCAATATTGTTTGTTTTTTAGCCTCAAAGAAGAAAACAACGCTTGCAGTGGAGCTACCTCCACACTACAAAGGTTAAGTGCTTGTTTTCTTCTAAAATAAAGTCTAAAATAAAGAAATACTCACCCCCAACCTCGGACCCAGCTAGCTGCTAGACCAGTCCCTGCAACTTCTCTCCCCCTTTGCTCCCCCTGTGTCATCATGTCCAATCAGCTGTATTGGATGTGATAACTTGCTAGTTTTTAGACCTCCAAAGCGGGAGAGAGGCTCCAGCGACGGGTCTAGCAACCAGCCGTGCACGAGGTTTGGGGTTGAGTATTACTTTGTTATTTTAGACCCTAGACAAAAATGAGCACTTAACTCTTGCAGCGCGGGGTAGTCTCACTCCAACGACTACGCTTCTTCTGCCCAGAGTTGTTCTTTAAATGCAACCCAGAGTGAGAAAACTATCAAAGCCGACTTACTGACCTATTCTACAAATGCAAGCACCTGTCTGTTAGGCCTGGTCCAAACCTAGGAGTTTTTGAGCAGTTGGAAAAGTGCTTTTAGATGCCCAACGCAAGAGATCCTATGGTTTTCAATGGACCTGGTTCCCACCTGAGCAGAAAACCGCCAGCAGGAAAAAGCCAAACGCCCGAAAAGGTACATGAGCTTCTTTGGCCAGTTAAAAACGCGTTTTTGCCCCCATATCTCAATGGAAATGTCCAAAAACGAGTGGCAGAAGCATGCTGCACATTTTCGCGAGCGTTTTTGCGTGTTTAAACACATGTTCTTCCATTGCCCGCAATGTTTCATGAGCTGCCAGTCAAAACGTGTATCTTCATGTATGCGCATAAAAATTTGTACAATGCACATAAACGTCCAAATAGCCGCATGCTGCTTACATGTGTAGAAACGTGCAAAAATGGTGCTGCCCAGGTGTGAACCAGGCCTTATGCTGAGCCTTTGGCTTCAATAATTAAATGTCACTATCCCTGTATGCAGCTAGGCCTGTAGGGCTGCCCCAAGGTTGAGGACTCAAAAAGTGCTAATGCTAAAGGGCAAGCATAACAGACAGGTAACTAAAGAGATCAGCAACGACAGCCTCTATATTACTGTTAGCAAAAGGTGTACTTTCCTAAGAGTATACAATAACTGACCATATTTCTGTTCTGAAAGGTTCCTTTTAAGATAAACATAAAGTGCACCATATTTTCAAATGACATTCCCATTTTCTCTTTCTTGATCCAGGTATATGAATTCCCAGTTATTCCATTGGTAAGCATCATAAATCATATCCAATGGCATCTATGACCATATGAACAGCTGAAAAAACCTTTCTACTGTTTTCTTATCTCTGGAATGTCTTCTTTTTGTGCTTTTCTAGACCAGGATCTTTTCATTGGATACATGCAAAGTAAGGTTACAGGATCAGTACTGCTTATTCACTTTGTAATTTAAAGTAGAACTCCAGGATGTGCAAAAATGACTGGACTATGCAGCTTCTTCAGCAATTAACTATTAAACTAAAATTAAACCCTCAGATTTTTTAACATAAAACAATACTGTAATGTGCGCCTTACTGTAATCCATGGTTGTTTCCCATCTCTTTGCTGCTCTTCCTTTTAAATCTGTATCTGTTCTCAAGCTGGGCAGAACTTCAGTTTTGCAGCAGACTGCATTGTCTCTGGAATGGATACATGGTGTCTGCGTGTAGGTTCACAACCTGAGCCAGCACTACAGGAAGAGGCACTCAGCTGCAAAGGGAAGTTCTCCCCAAGCATGAGAAGACATGATTTAAAAGGAAGAGCAGCAAAGAGAAGGGAAACAACCATGGATTACAGTAAGGCACACATTACAGTATTGGTTTATGTTAAAAAATCTGAGGGTTTAATGTCACTTTAATCATATATACACTCTTAACACCATTAAAAAACCCACCGGATGCCCAAGACCCCTCTCCAGCCCAACAGGCTGGTGTCCTTCCTGACTTCCCTGACTCCAGAGCCAGATTCCTGAGCTGCAAAGCCAGGGGCATCTTGGTCCTTGGTGATAAATTAATTGTCCTGTCCAGAAATCAGATTGACTTGTCCCACAATGACAAAATGTTGTGTTGTAGAGGTCTGGTGTAAAACTGGACAAATGGGATTGCCTCAACAGGGGCTACCATCAAGTGTATTGTTGCATGGACGTCAATAAATAGACGTTATTCTACCATTGGAGTGCCAGTGTCCATAATTGCTTATACCATCAGACCTGGGACTCCCATGTAAAAACAAAGTCAGAAAGTTCCCAGGCTGGACAGTACAAATCTCAAAACCACAGAGTTAGAAGTTTCTCCTGTGAAAGGAACACTCTTGCCTTGTCCAGGACTAGACACACTGAAGATACTACAAACAATGAGTGGGCCAGTGACATACTGTCATGTTATCGGACACAGCCTGAGCCGAATGTAGCCTCAACAAGAGGCCCTCTAAGTCAGCGCTTCTCAACCTTTTTTTAGTCACGGCACCCTTTAAATGTCTGCAAATTCTCGAGGCATCCCAGTCCAAGACTGTCCAGTGTAAAAACACGTAACATTTTAAAACCCATGTATGGTTCCTATAAAATCCATACCAGACCTTTATCTGAGACAGGTGTCTGGTATAGATTTTAAAAGGTGGAGCCCCATGCAAACCCACAAAAAAACTGGGGTTCCCCATTCATGTCAGAATCCCACCTCCACAGTAAGAGCTGTGGCAGCATTACCTACATCCAGGCAGACCAGTCCTGGATGTAGGTAAACTTCTGTACTTCTCTGAATGGATTCCACACTACCTGGATTAGCGTAATTCGTTTAAATGGTGCTGGCAGCCGGCTCACCTACCCCATGGAGAGGCATGTTGCTGTTAAAAATTTTGAAGCATCCCTGAGGTAGCCAGAAGGCAGCCTGGCTAAGAAAGGCTGCTCTAAGTATCCTACAAATGGGGATGCCACACACAGCAGGCCAGTAATGGGGCCAGCACCTTTGTGAATACCTGAGGTGCAGATGAGAGGCTGAAGGACAGGGGCACAGACTGGCAGTTCAGGGGTCCAAAGTAAAGCATAGAAATCACTAATGTGCTGAAAAGATGGTGACATGTGAGTTTTTGATGTCCAAACAAGACAAAGTGTCCAAGGTGCAGGGAGGTGATGACAGATTTGGTAGAATCCATGTGAAATTTTTTGACTCGAATACATTCAGAGCTTTAAGATCCAGAATGGGGCAAATGCCCCCTTTGGGGCTGGGAACCATAAACAGGTTTGATAAAAACCCCTGAAACTGTTCTGCACAGGAACTGGGGAAATTACACCTTGATCCACAAGAACTGAGAGGGCTCGATGGAGATCTGCTAATCTGTACGGTAATACAGAAACGGGCAGAGGGCAAAACACAGCCTTGGGAGACCATCTTCTGCACCCATGCATCTGAGATGTAAGCTGCCCAAATGTTCAAGCAAGGGTTAACAAGTCTACTCCCCCACTCTGGAAAGTGGGGGTGCACTTAATGCACAAGAAGGCTTGTCTGAGGATCTGGCAGACTTTGAATACCAGGACTAGAGGGTGGATAGGGAACCAAAATTGGGGGATAGTCTCAAAGAAGAGGTTGAGGAACTGAAAAAAAAACAGAGAGAACGCTTCTTACAGGTAAGGAGAGAAAAGGCTTTAAAATCTGTTCCTTACAAAAAAACAGGTGCTCTTGCCACCAGTAGCATCCTGAGGATGTTTACAAGGGCTGGTCCGAAAAGACGCTGTCCCTCGAAGGCCAGTTTAGCACTTTAGCCAAAGTGCTCTACTCATATGTACCAATATAAGAAAAATGTGAAAAAGAGAATGGGAGGCTTCCGACAAAGATCACAACTGAAATTCAATGCTACAACCACCTGCTCCATGCATTCTATGAGCGTTTGATCAACCTCGGCAGAATTCTGCATAGTCAGACTAGGTTGACAAAGTAAGGTCACAGCTAGGATCAGAAGAAGTCTATCAGCAAGAACAGAGAGCTGTAGGAAGGCCTTCCAGTTGCTTACTGGTTGGGTCCTCTACTAGAATTTGTAAGCAGCCTGTTAATCCTCATCAATTGGGTACAAGACTAATATGTTTTTAGGAGGAGCAAACGGTTTTTAGGAAGTTGTCAATCTCCATAGGGAAATAGCTGGAACAACCATTCTAAAAGGGAAAGTCTATGTGGCCTCTGAGTTTTATACAATTAAAGTCTGAAAACAGCACTGGTAGTTTCAGAGTGGCGAGTCCCATCAATGTTTTACTCCCTTTAACTTGGGGGTAAAAGCAGTACAATAGAACTCCTCAAGGGTAAGCTCATCAGTCAAGGACTGGAGTGGCTTAAGCTGGTAATACACTGTACGAATTGCGACAGGTTATTATTATTATTATACAGGTTTTATATAGCGCCAACATTTTGCGCAGCGCTTTACAATATAAGGAAGACATTACAATACAAGTCAAGCCAAGATGGTTCCTGATAATTCGGATACAATTTGTCAAGCGGGTGGCCCTGTCAACATCCTTCTATCTGCCATCTTTCAGAGCTCTTTCAGAGCTTTTTTCAAGCTCTAGTGCTACATGGAAGAGTCATTAGAACAACTCAACATTTCGGTGAAGTAGAGGATACCGAAAGCTGCTGCAGATATGAGCATGTCCGTATACTAGATTGTAAGCTCTCACGAGCAGGGCCCTCCTAACCCTATTGCACTGAAATTGTAAATAGTATTGCAACTATACTGTATCCCCCATTTTGTAAAGCGCTGTGCAAACTGTTGGCGCTATATACAGTAAATCCTTGTATAATTATAGTTTCGTGCCTGTACTTCATGCTAAAAAGCAGTTTTAAGACTCCTTAAAGTGACATTTACTTTAACTGAAGTAACAAACACAGTATGATGATAACAAGAAAAGTATTTCAGTGTCCATCAATATTCCCTTACCTTCCTGTGCTCCTTGCGCACAGCATGTTTGTCATCATCTTGCCAATATGCATCTTCAAGAGCCTGCTGACGTTTTGCATCAGCTACAGCCTTTGCATCTGCCCTTCTGGCACGGGCAGCAGCAGACTTGGTGTTTTCCCCCTGAAACTTTTTGGGCATCCCTTAGCTGAAAAACAGGACAATGACATTAAGTTTCTATCAGTGGGGAAACAGTTTATTCATATCACTTGAGCATTGCAATCTACTTGAAATATAATTTTCAGTTAAAGTGGAAACACCTTATCTGCTTTTAAAATTCTCAACACCAAATGGTGGAACTCAACACCATACTTTGCTTATAAAAAAATCTGCAACTACAGATCTCATCAATTCAATGCAAGTATTATGGTATCATAGTTTAGACTACAGTACACCGCATGCTGGGAAATAGAGATAGGGATCTCTTCACGGAAAGACAATATTGGTTGTCAAAAAAATATTGCACTATACAAACGATCTTCACTAATATGTCACCACTTCAGATAAACAGTTTGGCTATGTAACAGGCCATATAGGTGTCAATGGAGTAACATAATCACAAGTAAATGCTATTTATAGACTTTGACATATTTATGACTGGCGCACCGAACTGGCTAAATATCAACACAAGAACAGATATGTACAGGATTAGACATAAATAATGGTAGCCAATAGCCAGTCTTGGCCCCTTAGTGTGTGGCTTACGAATCTATTGTGATGTGTAGTCATTGTCAAGTGGGATATACAGTTTATCTTATGTTATTTTCACTGCAAATTCGAAATTTCAGCTCAAAACATATTATTTATAAACAAAAGTGGCAAAACTATAATTCCTAAAAGGAAAAAATCAGTATTTTTCATTTTTGTTCTGTTTCTAAACTTTACGTAGTATTATTTTATGTGTATGAAATTCTTGTCTTACAAATAAACATCTCATTTAGCTTATCTGTATGTGCAGTGCATGCTGGGCAGTGTAATAAGAGAGTCTAGCACTAATCACCACACTTGCTAAGTGCTCTTGAAGATCTAGACAACACTGTCTCTACAAGGAGAGTCTCTCCCTTTCTGTTAGACACACAGGAAGTAAGAATTCACATTGTGACTGTAAGTGGGTGCATGGTAGATGGTTCTGTCGCAGATGGATCGCTATCTGAAAAATTGAAAATGGTTTCATGACTTATTACAATTCTCTTCTCTTGGTGCTCCTCCATAAAAAGGCGTAAAGAGTGAGAGTGCCAAAACAATATAGTTAGTATGGTATACATTTTTTATTTTGACAAAAAGTCCAAAAGGAAAGTCAAAGCATGTCGGGGTGCTCACAACCCCTCCCCTCTCCATCAGGAAACTGGCGACGAGCAAGCCATCCGTCATCAACCTAAGTGCTGGTCCTTTGTTTGGATTATCCAGTTTAGAGATGCACTAATACAGGTTTTTCGGTATTGAGTACGAGTACCAATATTTATATTTCGGTAATCGCCGATATCGAGTACCGATACTTCTGCTAGCATGGGGCCAGCTTCCTAGGCAATCAGGAAATCGGGCGTTGTGTCATTACCCGCCGCCCAGCTTCTTGATTGCCCGGGAAGCCGGCTCTATGCTGATTGGCTGGGAAGCCAGCTTCCCGGGCAATCAGGAAGCCGGACGGCGAGTCATTACCCGCTGCCAAGCTTCCCGATTGGATGGGAAACCAGCTTCACGTATCTACCTGGTGCCTCTCCATTGCAGAATATATATGGTTGTTTGTTCCACTCTCATCTAACCCACAGGATCACAGGGAACTATAAATCCTTAAGACACACTGCCTTGCCATTCTCATGTATTGGTTTAAGTTGAGGGAGGGTTTGAATGCTGCCATGGAGACATACCAGTAAAACGAGATTATTATTGCTTATGAAACAAATTTTCTTTTTCTCTGGGGCCTTTATGGCAGCATACAATTAGCTAAAAAGATAAATGATACAACAAACAGATTTATTAACAAACAGAGGATTCTAAAGTCTTCTTTCTGGAGCCTAATCAGGTCAGCCTAGCCCAAATCCACACTGCAACGAGCCAGGATGATGAGGTAGTGTTTCTTTATAGCAGTGGTTGTCAGTTTACAAGGTCTAGTCCCCTGGGGTGACCCTGAAATCACCAAAGGACAGAACATAATATTCAATAAAATGAAACTTTTAGAAGTTGGTCAGAGACAGCAGACTTTGAGAGAAAATTATCACTGGATGTGCTATGGATGTGTTTGGAGACTGCCAACAAGATGTAGGAGACAGTCAGCAACTGGGGACATGTTACATGAGACTGCTAGCGATCAGTGCTATTGCAGCCCCTTTATAAAGCAACTCTCACTCCTGCACCTGACAGCTGGAGTCCAATAGCTGTACAGCAAGCAACAAAGGGTCATGCATGGCCCTCATACAGCAGACTGGGAACTAGGGATTTTTAGAGCCATCACTGGTCCTGTGGAAGGATGAATGTAGAGCAACCCACCAAATGTGTGCTGCCATGAAGTAAAGCACCAGGAAAATATGCTGCATTAGATGCCTGCACCCAGCAAAAATTTAAATGTAGACTAAAGCTGGCCATTCACCCTTTCTGCAGATTTTCTATGGTCAGATGGAGAAAGCGCAACAGATTCCTCCATCTACACTAAACTGTGTGGATGGAAGAACCTCCCACTGGGCCAAGCTTCAGTATCAGTTTGAAGCACCATACGATTTTAGTAAGCAATTGCAATTTCTTTTTTGGGGTCATTTATGCTACCATGTTTTATAAATATGGTCAACGTGAAACATGGTCCAAAAGCTGGATTCAGGGCAGGGTCACAATATAGCATTGCGCTAAAGCTACAGTAGCTGAGCATCTAGCATATGCTATTGCACAGCACACTAGGTGCGCTGTTTTGCCATTCATTCTCTAATGGTACCCTGACACATCAGCTGGGAGGCATGTGCTGCAACACCCTGTACGGCAATAACATATGTTGCGATGCGGTTAAAAAAAATTTAATAAATGCATGGGCTATTTTTTTTTCACCACACTGCAAGTGATTTGCAGTAATATGCACTGTAGCGCATCCCAACGCCTGCCCAGCAGGTGTATTGTGATGTTATTCGAAATGAATGGCAACCCAGCGTACCTAATGTGTGGTGTGATGCACTGTGCGATAGCACATTAGCCTTTAATGCCCAGCTGCTGCATATATGGGTTTATCATACTGTGCTCACTGACACCTCCCAAGTCAGTCTTTACAACCAGAAACAGGCTACTGATCATGTGATCACAATGACTGCATAATTAGAGGCCCAGCCCTACCATGCAAGGGTTACCTCTAAAGGGAAAGTCTTTCCAATCTGATTGTATTTGTGTATGGCTAGCTTAAGATTTATACTTCTCCAAGAGACACAGAGAGCTGCTATATAGCACACTCTGTTCATCTCCTGTGTACTCAAGCTCCAAGAAATGTGCTACATCTCCCCAGCACAGCCAATATATATACAAGCTAGACAGCCGCCCATTCAACCATCAAGCCGCTATAGGGCAAGCAAAGTGCTTTTATGTCTTGTATGCAGTATGTCGGCCACTCACTAAGTCTCCTCCCTGCCTCCCATTCCTTCAACCCAGCTCTTCTAAACGGACAACCATAACATTTGTTCCAGCAACCCCCTGTCACTCACACACCCGGGATTCTTCCCTTGCTTCCGCCCCCACTTCAGGTCGCGCAGTGATATCACAATTCAGCGCCAGCTTCCGGTTCCGAGCTCTTCTACTTCCGGTGCACGTGTGTGTGCGTTCCACTCTACTGCGGCTACGTGCGAGCCCGTTGCAGTGTATTAGGGGAGTGTGTGGGCGCCTCTGTGTTGGACGGTAATCCTTACAAGAGAAGATATACATAGGGAATGTTAACTAAGTGGCTTTCTGGTGTAAATATTGGTGCAATTTCCATGTGCCAGATTAAAAGCATACTGTAAGGGGAATTTATCAAAACTAGAGCAGAATTTGGAGCACCTGCCCATGGCAACCAATCAGCTTCTTTCTATCATTTTTGAAGCTGAATTGAACAAACTGAAGAGAGAAGTTGATTGGTTACTATTGGCAACTGCTCCAGATTCTGTCTTCCAGTTTTGATCGATTCAAACTTTTTGTGTTGCGCCAGGTTCACGAAATCACGTTAAAAGTGCTATGTGACTGTTTTTTATAAATGTCTGATCATGTGTGTCAGAATAATGAAGCCGTTTTGCTAATGTTATATTTAACTAATTGCTGTCCGGAGCAATTTCTTAATACTTGCGCACACACACGATAAATTAGTTGCAATTACTGTATTTTTCCGTCTATAAGACGCCCCCAACTTTTCTTTCCCAAAATTCAGAAATCAATATTTTAAATGATATTATGCATCACACTTACAGTTCAGTGGTATCAGCACTTTCAAAACCGCGGCCCCCATGTATAAGACGCAGCTCTATTTTTAGATAAAGATTTTTATGAAAAAGTAGCGTCTTATACACGGAAAAATACGGTATCTATTTTGCATGATTTTTGCTCAAATGTTTATCAAACCAGTATTTTTAGGATAAAATACACTAAAATGAAATTTTGTGCACAGAAACCGAATATAATACCCATTTTGTTTTGTAAAATATAAAAGACGGTGTCACGTCGGGTAAATACCAAACATGTCAAGCCTTAAAATTTCGTGCGCCTGTGAAATTGCAAAAAACTTCAATAACCAAAATTTCCCATAAGCAATGTTTTAAAAGTTTTTACTGCTCATCAGTTTAGTGTTACCAGTGATTGATGGCCCTTAACCCCTTCATGACTGAGGCCCTTTTTTCAATTTTTGCACCCATGTTATATTAGTTCTCAAGCTGACATTTGCGGTGATATGTAACATGTGTTGCTCAATTGTTGTTTTTGCACGTAGGCGCACCTGAAACTTGTTTCTAGATGTGACTATTTTTTTTTTTTTTAACGTTTATGCTTAACTTTATTGCTATCATATAGGGGGCTAACAAGCCCCCTGTCTCCTCCTCCTGCTGCAGTGATTGTATGTCTCTCAGCATGTCTACACACTATGGGGGGAATTTATCTAAACTGGAGCAGACAAAATCTGGAGCAAATTTGCATTGCAACCAATCCGCTTCTTTTTCTCATTTTCAAATCTCAACTGAGCAAACTGAAGAGAGAAGCTGATTGGTTGCCATGGGCAACTGCTCCAGATTCTCTCTGCTCCAGTTTTGATAAATCCCCCTCTTTGTATAGAAGGTGATGACTCTGGAACCTTAGACCACTGCAGCATAGGGAAAGTGAGGCTTCAAGGACCAGTCTAAGAGCTTGGAGGATCAGGTGAATATAACTTTTCCATTTTTGAACATAGACAAAAACAAGCAGGTAACCCTTGCAATGAGGGTTAGCTTTTTTCTTTGTACAAATAAATGGGTATTATATTGTGTTTGTGTGCCCTAAAAATCATTGTAGTATTTTTACCATTTTTGTTTTCTACAGGATCATAGATACATAGAGGTGGATTTATCAAAACGGGAGCAGACAAAATCTGGAGCAGCTGTGCATGGCAACCAATCAGCTTCTCTCTTTCATTTTCCAATCTTAACTGAGCAAACTGAAGAGAAAAGATGATTGGTTGCCAAGCACAGCTGCTCCAGATTTGATAAATTCCCCCCATAGAGTTTTGAGTTTTTCACTACCTCCTGGCCGGCCGTTGTGTATACACGGCCGGGTGCTTCCTAGATGTAACTGGCCGTGTATACACGGCCTGTTAGTCCCGCCCACTGATGCGTGAGCGGGAAAGACACATAATTTAAAAACCGGCAGCGATGCCTGTTAACATACAAACGATCTGCCGACTATAGAGCCGGCGGATCGCTTGTATGAGGTCCCGGTATGTGCGCCCCCCTCCGTGGCCCCCCCCCCCTGTCCCACTGTCACGCTGATCCCGGGCTCCGCTGTGCCCGGTGCGAGCCCAGGACCAGCATAGTGCCTGTGTCACGGGATCAGAGGGAGGACGGTACACGAGCTCCCTCCGGTCCCCTCTTCTCTGCAAGAATGCGGAAGTGGTGTATACTACATCACTTCCGCATTCTTGTGTCACTCTCCGGCTTCAGATGCTGGAGAGAAGCTGATGAAGCAGATCTCTGCTTCATCAGCTTCTTCAGGGGGGTCCTAGGTGACATTAGGGGTCTTGGAGACCCCTGATGTCTCCATAAAGAGGAGCTCAGAAGAAGAAAATAATGTCACCAGCACACCATAATAGTAAATCAATGATCCATTTTAATGGCACATTGCCATCCAATGCAAGCGCTTTCGGGGCCTCAAGGGGTCCCCTTCATCAGGCTCAGAATGACACCCGTTTGGGTTCTTTCCGGTAAGGAGTGCAGCAAGACATCTGGTTCATAAAGAGGACCTGTCACATATTTTGCTGTCACATATAGGGGTTTCTTAGCCCCCTCTGTGATAGCAATAAAGTTAAGTGGAAAAAAAATTAAAGTTTCCCCCAAACATTTTGTTTTTAAGTTACACACAAAAAAGAATTTAAAAAAAACAAATTTTTTTTTTTAAAAGTCCCGACCCCTACATGCACGCATGTAAACATACCTGCGAAAACGACGATTGCGCCCATTACGCCGCACATGTTACGTATCGCCGTGAACGTCGCAGTGAGAGCAATAATTCTAGGGCCATCAATCACTGATAACACTAAACTGATGAGCTGTAAAAGCTTTTAAAGCGTCACCAATGGTCAATTTTGGGTATGCTAGTTTTTTGCGGGTGCGCGCAATTTTTAAGCTTGACATGTTTGGTGTCTATTTACCCAACGTGACCCCGACTTTTATATTTTACCAAAAAAGTGGGTAATATTAGTTATTTTATAACATAATTTTTAAAAAAACAAATTTTTCCTGAATATAGTAAAAAAATAAAACCCCCAGTGGTGATTAAATACCACCAAAAGAAAGCTCTATCTGTCCCCAAAAAATGGTATAAAATTCATTTCAGTACAGCGCTGCATGACGGAATAGATGTCAGTCAAAGTACCGCAGCGCTGAATACTGAAAAATGGCCTGGGCAGGAAGGGGATCTAAACACCTGGTCAGCAAGCGGTTAAGTAATTTTCTAGCCAAAAATGCCAATTTTAACATATGTGCCAAAAATTTAATAAACTACCTTGAAAGCGAACTGGTTCATATTTTTTGTTGAAATTATTGAAAAGGCAAATTGTCCTTGTGATTTTTTATAACAATGTTATCTGACTACAGAGCATTCTTCCTCATCCCAAACATGGTACATTATCTGACTGCAGAGCATTCCTCTTCATCCCAGCCATGGCACAAAGTTATCTGGCTGCAGAGCATTTCTGCTCATCCCAGCCACGCTACAATGTTATCTGATTGGAAGCATTCCTTGTCATCCAAGCCATGGATCGTTATCTGACTGCAGATCATTCCTCCTCATCCCAGCCATGGTACCATGTTATCTGACTAGAGCATTCCTCATCCCAGCCATATTATCTGATTGCAGAGAAATGGAGTCCTCTATAGCTGACAGTATTACTTTACATTGCTATATAATGTATTGCTGAGACTTGTAGTTCCCCTTCAGCTTAGAGTCAGTGGTAGAACTACCAGGGGCACATAATTTGCAGCTGGGACTTGGCTCTAGCGGTCCACCACTGTCCTAAAATCATTAGTCTTTTAGATTGTAAGCCCTCACGGACAGGGCCCTCCTTACCATACTGTCTTGAATTGTATTGTAATTATAATGTCTTCCTTATATTGTAAAGCACCGCGCAAACTGTTGGCGCTATATAAATCCTGTATAATAATAATAGTCTGTATTGTTTTGGAAAAACTGTCACATGACACTAAAACAAAGGTATTGGCATCAGCAAGCACTTGAAGAAATGTATCGGTACTCATACTCGGTCTGGAATAAATGGTATTGGTGCATCCCTACTATCCCTCTTTCATTTTGATACTTTTTGACCATTTTGATACTTTTTTTCAAGTACTCACCGATACCAATTACCGATATTTTTTCTTAAAGGGACAGGCCACATTTTTTCTAAAGCAATACAAAATCATGATTTTAGGTCAGTTTCTTAATATTATGAAGAACATGAAATGAATATTTATTATGCCATTGCTAACTAAGGCTTGTATCCCCATAGTGGGGAAAATAGATGAGCACATGTCCAGAACACTGTATAGTGTGGCACAGCTATATCCAATTCTGCATACCTGGCTTTATATTATAAGAACTTTATAATATAAAGCCAGGTATGCTGAATTGGATATAGCTGTGCCACGCTATACAGTGTTCTGGACATGTGCTCATCTATTTTCCCCACTAGGGGGATGCAAGCCTTAGTTAGCAATGGCATGATCTAAATATTAATTTCATTATTCAATGTCTTTTTTTTATATTATAAAATTTATAATATTTAAAAAAAAGACATTGAATAATGAAATGAACTGAATATTTAGATCATGCTATTGCTAACTAAGGCCCCATTCACACTTGGCGATTCGCAAATCACGCAATTTGCATTTTGCGCGATATCGCGCAAATGCTGGCATTGAAAAGCATTGAATTGCGGCAAAATCCGCTCCAAAAAAGGGTCCTGCTGTAGCGACGCACGACCCGCGACAGCAGGACCCTTTGCCCCAGTGCCATGCATTGGAGAGCGATATCGCGCGGTAAATAGCCGCAATATCGCGGGAATTACCGCGCGATAAATCGC